TTTTTTTTGTAAATGTTTATTTTTTTATTTTTTTGTAATGTGGAAGATGCGAATGGTTGTCTGTTGGGTATTTGTAGATGCGAATTTTTTTTTGACTCAAGAACTGAACGCAAATGAACTCGTCAAGCTTTCATGGTGGCTCCCAATGTTTTTGGACTGACAGGCAGGCTGACAACCTAAAGGTCCGAGGATCGAATCTCCAAGCGCGCAAATGCAAATAAATTTTAAGTTTTTACTTTTTTAATTTTCCTGCTGTCTTCCTATGGGCTAAGTAAGCTTCTTTTGTTTTGTTTGCTTCAACCCCAACCTTTTTTCTTGTTTTTTGCGATGTGGAATTTGCGAATGTTTTGGTTTGTTTTTTTTTTTATATAAGTGTGTTTTCCTTTTTTTGTAAATGTTTATTTTTTTATTTTTTTGTAATGTGGAAGATGCGAATGGTTGTCTGTTGTGTATTTGTAGATGCGAATTTTTTTTTGACTCAAGAACTGAACGCAAATGGATACGTCAAGCTTTCATGGTGGCTCCGAATGTTTTTGGACTGACAGGCAGGCTAACAACCTAAAGGTCCGAGGATCGAATCTCAAGGCGCGCAAATGCAAATTAATTTTTATTTTTTATTTTTTTGTGTTCCTACTGGCTTCATATGGGCTAAGTAAGCTTTTTTTGCTTTGTCTGCTTCAACACCAAACTGTTTTTCTTGTTTTTTTGCGATGTAGAATTGGCGAATGTTTTGGCTTGTTTTTTTTTTCTTTTTTTTTGTAAGTGTGTTTTTCCCTTTTTTTGTGTTTATTTTTTTTTCTCTTTGTAGTGTAGAAGATGCGAATGCTTGTCTGTTGTGTATTTGTAGATGCGAATTTTTTTTGACTCAGGAACTGAACGCAAATAATTCTTAAGCTTTTATGGTGGCTCCGAGTGATTTTGGACTGACAGACAGGCTAACAACCTAAAGGTCCGAGGATCGAATCTCCAAGCGCGCAAATGCAAATAAGTTTTAATTTTTTACTTTTTTAATTTTCCTACTGTCTTCATATGGGCTAAGTAAACTTTTTTTGCTTTGTCTGCTTCAACACCAAACTGTTTTTCTTGTTTTTTTGCAATGTAGAATTGGCGAATGTTTTGGTTTGTTTTTCTTTCTTTTTTTTTGTAAGTGTTTTCCCTTTTTTTGTGTTTATTTTTTTTTCTCTTTGTAGCGTGGAAGATGCGAAGATGCGAATGGTCTGTTGTGTATTTGTAGAGGCGAATTTTTTTTTGACTCAAGAACTGAACGCAAATAAATTTCTCGAGCTTTTATGGTGGCTCCGAGTGTTTTTGGACTGACAGGCAGGCTAACAACCTAAAGGTCCGAGGATCGAATCTCCAAGCGCGCAAATGCAAATAAATTTTAATTTTTTACTTTTTTAATTTTCCTGCTGTCTTCCTATGGGCTAAGTAAGCTTCTTTTGTTTTGTTTGCTTCAACCCCAACCTTTTTTTCTTGTTTTTTTGTAATGTGAAGACGCGAATGGTTGGGTTTGTTTGGGTTAGTAAGTGTTTCTGTATTTTTCTTTTGGATTTGTAAGTGTTTTTTGTGGTTTTTTTTTCGGTTAGTTTGCAACAATATTGAAATGAAATATCGTGTCTTGGCAAGCATTTAAATGTGCATAAGATTTTGCGTTTTATGGCGTAAAAACAGCTTATCTGCCTGCTTGCGCTTCTGCCTGGGATCTTCGAAAATCCTCCCGAGGAATTTCGAGATGGAAAAAGAGCCCAGAAAACACAGTTTTAACAACAATTTTTAATCGTATACAACAGATGCAATTGGAAAACTGCATTTTAGAGCGTGGCAACTGCCGGCAAATCTACTTGAAGTTCTCGTATTTGAGCGGCRTTCAAATTTTTTAGGGGCGATCGAGCCAAACCAACATCAATTGGAGTAATTGCGTTCATGGCGACTTTCATTGTGGGAACCCAGGCACCTGAAGARTAGTTAGAGAATCATCATTGCAACTGATCSATGGAAAACTTGCCATTTTTCGTAACAACTTTAACAGCTGCAGTTAATTTCTCCTGGAYCGCTCTGGCCTCTTCCACTTTGTTAGCGCGAACTGCTGCCATAATGCTGTTGAAATGATCAGGCAGGAAGTTGATGCCGGTTGCTATAACTGAGTCAAATCCCAAGGCAGTGGCAGGTTGGACTAGCTGAAAATTTGCCAAACAGTGGCAGGCTTTTCTTCCGCTGGCAGAAGCACAATTTACCGTATCAGCGCCCAGAAACACCGCGTATCTTCCATCAGCAGCCTTAAGCGCATTGTAGCCCTCCGATAAGTCGTTGTTTGTGTACTTGATCCCCTGAAAAGTGGGAATTTTCCCCACTGATAGAGTCAGGAACTTCTCCATGTTGACTGAAAATTTTCCGACCTGAACAATCACTGCGGAAATGAGCCCAACTTCCACCTACTATTCACTCCACTCCAGACAGGAATATGATAATACAAGAGCGGAGTATTGGGAGCAACAGCCGAAATTTCCCGCAGATAGTCAATCAAATCCTGCTCATTGGAGGGTTTGAAATACAGCTCTGGCAGAGTCAGAATGGAATCGGCGCCGATTTTTTCTGCATGCGCCGCCAGTTCTTTAACATCAGGAAAAGCGGTTCCACCCACTTGGATCATAATGTGCTGTTTGGTCGTTTTTCCTGCAGCCACCCACGCTTCGGCCAAAC